CAAGTTGAAAGTGGAAAGATTCGATAATATTATTAACGAGAGGTAGGAGATTACAAATAAAAAATACGAGAACTACAAATAATAACATCGTAGCTAATCCTATTTCTCGCCTTTGCAGTCTTGATAATCGTTGACGTTCCATATTTGCTTTTCTCACCTGAAAGCACACGAGCAGATTAGAAAGGTACACTGTCAATTACAAATTAAATTAGCACTATCAAAGTGTAAACTAATCCCAAATTAAATTCTCTCCACATGTTATACGTATTACAGATTCACATCGGATTAGTTACATTTGCTCTTTATTTTCATGCCCGAGCAAATATTTAAGTGGATTAGAGCATAATTACCAACATTTCAAAAGACTGTAATCCAATAATTTAGGTGCCTACACCATTACCAACATTTCAAAAGACTGTAATCCAATAATTTAGGTGCCTACACCATTCTTTTGTATTAGTTAATTTTTACGATGCAATTTACATATGCTTCAGTGTTTAGTTTGTATTTTGTACTTATGACCCAATCAGCTAAATTGAACACCATGTAACTAGAAATGGGGAAATTCTACTTGTTTTTTTTAAATTTTTTATATCTCAGAGTTATCCGAAAACTCGTCCTAAACATAGGTATTCGCCCCTAATAAAAAAATAAACGTTGAGATGACGAACGGATATCAAAATGGGTTCCATTGTACATTGCTGAGGTGTTTGCTTAGAGTGTTCGCGGTATTTTTAAGCCCCATGCAAAGAATACCTCCCGTTCCAATCGCATCAAATTTGGGTGTGTTGTCAATTGAACCTACCACGAATTCGTTTTTTTTCCAAATTTTATTTTTATTTCTGCTAGGGCCGATTTTGTTGCACATAAAAATACAAGAATGATTCATTTGGGTATTACAATGAGGCTGAGGGATAAAAAATACGTCGAAGGCCATAAAAGCAACTTACGCTCGTGGTACATACACAACTTTATGCACAGATGAATATCTTTTTTTTAATATTTCCAAAAAAATTGAATTTTGCACCCACATCTAGCGCTGTTTTGATTAAAAAAATTTAGAAACGTAACTACAGCTACGGTTAAACAAACGGTAGCCATATTGCCTAAAATCTTTTTCATTTTCTGTTGTGTCTGTAACTCGTGAAAAGAAAATGAATGAATGAAATTGATCAGACTGATGAAAAACCAAGAAAGGAAAAGTGTATACGAAAAATGTATAACGACTATCTAAAATACTGCGACATACAAAAAGCGTTTCCAATTTTTTTATACATAGTTTAACCCTAAAACAATCTTTTCCAATAATTGTCCCGATGATTCTTGCAAATCGACGGACTGTAGAATTTTTTTTCGGAATTCGAAGAATTTTCTTAGTTAACAAATGGAATAACTCCCGCAATATATAACAAAAAATATAACTCTATAATAGGCGAATGGAAAGCTCTCGGAAAGACGTACATTAAAAAAAATACGTCCAAATCCGATTAATTAATAGTTCACGAGAAATCAGCTTTTGACTTTGAAGCCAGTTTTCGAAACAACCAAAAATGATTTTGCAAATCGGGTCGCACCGATCGATTCTTTAAAGCGTGAACTTTTTTCATGCTTCTATTTCACCAAAATGAATGATTTTTATTAATCCGAGTGCCAAGGGCCGATTATAGAGTTACTTTTCTTGTTAAATCTCGGAAGCTATTCGATTTGTTAGTTAACTAAAAAAATTCCACAGTCCGTTGATTTGCAAAAATGATCGGGACAATTATTGGAAAAGATTGTTAAACTACTATGTATAAAAAAATTGGGAACGCTCTTGTAGTCCCCCAGTTTGAAAGACAAAGCATCCCTTTTTTTACTTGTTTATTTAATTAATCAATTACTATGAAACCTACGGTGATCGGGTTTGTCATATTGTTTTGTTATCAAAAGAAGTTACTAAATACGGATTTTCAAAAAGATCGGATGAATTTTACTTGGTAATAAAACTGTTAATTTTAGAGATTAACTTTTTACATTTTGCCATAAACAATAACAGTTGAAAATGAGCGTTCCGGACCAACTGTATCTTATAGAAAATTTTATTCTAAACAAGTTCATTTCTATTCATTCTTTCCCTCAGAGCAATAGTTAACGAGATATTCGAAGTCAAATGCGAAAAAACACGACATTTTCTCATTTTTTCTTCGTTTTTTGTTAATAACAATATGGCGTTTCCGGGCAGGGGGACTATGATCTTCGGATTCAGCGGATTTTTTTAACACAGGATACCCTTGGTTTCAGTTGAGTGGAAGCAGTATTTCGGGATTTTTAAAGAGAAAATGAGAGGATTCCAGCCAAAAGTTCAAAGTTTTAGTCCCATATAGAAGATAACACTTTAATACATATACCAAGCTCCAAGAATGCATACAATAATAATAATAATAAATAATAATAATATACAACGCCACTTACTTAAATTGTACATTTGCATGGAAATTTTTTTTTGTTAGCGTTGGCTGTTGTGGCCATCAATTTTGGTAAAGTAAATAATTACATACTATTCCTATATTTTTCTTAAATATGTTTATTGTTATTTATTTATTATTAATATTACGAAACACCGACCATAAATAATAATCTAATCTATTGGGTATGTTGATTGGTAGCAAAAAGCTCTCTGGCGAAGTTGGATCTTCCTGCTGATTCAGTCTTAATTGATAATGCGCCCTTATGTTTAAAGTTCCACAAGTTTTGGGTGTATAAATTGATAAAAACTCTTCCTTTTTCAAAAGTAGCTATTGCGAAAACTGAGTTCTTTGTACCAGACTTAGAAAATGTTGCTTTTGCAGTCTGTCAAGATGACACTGGTAGAGTCTTTGATTCTGTCAGGTTTAATTATGCTGATTCTGTTTATGGGCCGCTCCTTACTAAGTTAATGAAGTTAGTAGATTCAAAGAGTGCAGAACTGTTGTTAAGGTATGTATTCAGGCATTAGAAAATATGACACATGTTCACCCGTTCTACAACCACATAATATTATTAATGCGCCGTTTGCGGGAAAAAGGAGAACTTCCACTATACGTGTTTAATCGCGCAAACTATATACAACGCGTATTCCTGAATAGAAATTTTAAAAATATATTTGAAATTCGTAGAGACTTCATGATCGTAGATTAAAAAATCCCTGCGCCCAGTAGGTACTCACGTTACGAAGCTTCCTTTAGTTACCTGTGTGCCTATTTGTACAACAAGGTTCCTCATGTTTATCGGTCGCTACCTCTGCAACCATTTAAAAGGAAAATTAAAAATCTTTTGAAAAGAGATTCACTCTTAGATGGCTAAACGGTGCTTCTCGGTTAATACAAATGTTAATGTTCTTCTCTATAACACGAATTTTTTTTTGTATTATTTAGTACAACCAATCTGTATTTTTCAGTTACGTTAATGGTTTTGTGACGCTAAATAAGCCCCCACTCCCAACGGGTACGAGCATTGAATATGATTAGGATGGATAGAGGGCACCTTAATAACCCGTTTTCCAATTAATTTGCAGGTTGAAGCACCTAAATTTTCCACAATCTTAATTCACTCCATTTCTGAAAATCTTAAGGTTAGCGATCTGAAAAATGTTGTTACGCTTTCTTTATTCAATTTATAATCAAAGTGTGACAACCTTTTGTAGATTATGTTTAACTTCTTCGTCTACTACACTTTAATAACACCACTTTTGAAGTGTATACAGTCTAACATTCCGAATGCTTAGGAGAAGAATGTTGGAGAGATACGATATTGCATCTGGCAAGATCGAACGCTTCTCTTGTATCGATCACCCGAGGAGAGGAAACCGGGCACTTCCTGTGTATGTTTATATATACCATTCGTTCGTATCGGAGGCGAACGCTTTGAACGCCTTGTTTCGTATGGTGCCCTTTATCCATTTCTATCAATTTCATGATCGCACCTGGGAGGCTTATTAGCGTCACGCAACATCGTTTAAAACCAAGATTTCTTGCAACAGGTAGTTTTAATACTTGTGATAGCTGAAGCATGCTATAAACAGGAACTTGTTCAGCTAGAAGTTGATGATATTCAGGTTCTGCAATCCTCATTACTGATCACCTTGCGAAACGCTAAAACCAAGACGAATCGAATGTTTAATGTGGTTGACAACCTTTACATCGACAAGTTTTTTGGAAATTCACAAAAAGTATGCTGCTTTAGGTCCGATAAATACAGCCGTTGCTTCTTGGCTTACAGGAATGGGAAATGTACCAGGAAATTCAGGATAAAAGTCTGGTGGAATTCCGAATAAAGTAGGTAGCTGCTTATCTTAAATTGCCGAATCCTGAATTATATAAGCAAAAAATGTGCCAAATTCTTGACAGAAAAACTTCGTAGCTAGCTCAGACCCAAAAGCGCTCTTCATTATTTAACGTCTTCGCCCGCTCTTTATTTTACTTTTGTTTATTATTAATACTTATTTATTATTAATAATTAATTTACTATCTAAGTCAGTAAACACAAAGCTCCTTATTCAATTCAATCGGCACGTAAGAATAAGAGTGACATTTTACAACTTACCCCATAAGAGGGTACGACACACTCATTAGGTTTTCAATGACTTTTTTGTCGGCGGCCTACTGCAGATGTTAGGTTCTACTTTTCTTTGCAGTATTAATATTAACGCAGATTTTAGTGTTTAAATATGCGTGGTATTAATTAATCATTATAAAAACTGCAGTATACATGTACACTGATATTTTAACAACGTAAATATTGACAAGAAATGACAATTTACCGACTACTTCCAATACCGCATTAGCAGCTACTAGTTCAAAGACTTTTGATCATGAACTAGCAACTTGGGCCCAGAGTACAATGTCAGTTTAAACTTCAGTGTATAGTTAAATTGTGTGTTAAAGTATTTAATTGGTCAATATTTTGTTATGTCAGTTAAACTAAACTGAAGTTTAACCTGACGTTATACAACCGGGCCTTCATATGTAATAATTACCTACAGTCAAATCACATTAATCTGAAAAATAGATTGATTGGTTTAGTCACGGAATTAATTCATTTTTTCTTTCAAGCTGAATAAACAATACTTAAATGCTTCTAAACTTCTTGGGAAATTGTTGGATTAATTGTGTTGAATAGGTAAGGCGCTTAAATCTTAGC